CCGACCGGGGCCGCCCCCGGCGGGGGGCACCCCCCGCACCCGCACCCCTTCCCGCCGGGCGGGATGCACCATCCAGGTAAGCAGCCGGGACAACCTCCTGCTTCTTCCCTGCTTCCTCCCTCTGGGAAACGGGGAGGAAATCTGGACTCATGCGAGGTACTGAGTGCAGGATCGCACGAGGGGCAGCAGCTGCCTGCTGGGATTCCCTCCTGGATGTTCTCCAATGGGCACAAACCCGACCGGAGCGGGGCCCTGCGGAGCGTCCGGGCGCTGCCGCTTTGGAGCACCCTTGGGAGCGGGGACACCAGGCGGGTCGGGACATTTCCCTCTTGGCAGGGGAGGCCATGGGAAGGCCAGCGCAGTCGCAGCGCCCAATTTTTGGGTCTCCAGAGCACTGCAAGGATGAGAATGAGCCTCCAATCGCTCATTTTTCTCTGGTGTAAATTAATACGTTAAGTGTGAACCTTCTTAGCACACTCTGCAGCTCTGCTAAGCAGGAGCTAAATCAAGACACGAGAACAAAATGTTTCTTTGATTTCTTTCCCTTTTTGGCCCTGTAGTACTGCAGAACAAGCTGTATACGTCTAGACTGTGATTCCAAATTCAAAAATGAAGTGAAATTTGCATTAATTCAGGAAAAAAAAAAGCCTCCTGGTTGACACACGTAGGTATTTTTAATCCTGCCCGGCTCTGAAAGGAGCCGGGGCGCTTGTGATGCCACCAGCGGGTGACCAGGTGGCTGCTGCTCTCCCTGATCTCAGGCTGCCTTTGGAGAAGCCAATTCCACGGGGAAGCCTCCGAGTGCTTCCCAGCACCTGCCCTGAGAGGCTTCCCCTTAGGAAAGAGGCTGTTTGTGAAAGGGACAGAACGAAGGGGGGAGATGTGGGTTGGGAGGGACCCCTGGGGGCCTCGCTCCAACCTGCGTGCTCCAAAGGTTGCTCACTCTTCCCCGAGATCTTGGAGGATTCTCCCAGGTCCCGTGTTTGCTGTCCGGGATTTTTCCCCCCTCTTTCCCAGCCTCCTTTCCCAGCCTCCTGCCGCAGGAAGAAGCAGCGGGCGGTTCCCG